GTCGTACGAGGCCATGCATGTTGCCCTCCATTGATCTTGTATCCTATAACAATACCACCTGCTGTACAGTTCGTATTCCACGTTTGGATTTCAACCAGTTGTTGAGGATCTGTTCCTTTCGATAGATTCTCAATTTTCTCCATCAGAGCTCAACTTCTACTAAACTTCTACTAACGAATTCCGAATATTGCATAGAAGTTGAGTTCTGATGGAGAAAATTGAGAATTACGAGCGGACTTCTGACTATTTTGTCTCAGATTTAGAAAATATGATTTTTCTCAGCAAAGAAAGGAAAAGAAAGCGATACATACTTTTGTTGCTGACACTTTGATCAAGATAACAATAATACATCGTTGAACGAGGTATTATATTATTTAGTTTCCTTTTTGGAATTTCTTGTCACTTCTGCAATGGAGAAATGTGAATAAACCCACTCACAATCTCTCTTCTGTAATTTATCACGGGGTTTTATCTTTGTAGAGTCAGTCCCAGTAACATTACCAAAATCGAATTATCCGAAGTCATCTTCAACGGACATAACAACAGATGTGACCACAAAAGATGATAATGATTTAGCTGAATTACAAATGAAATTAAAAAAATTACAGGATGATAATAAATATCTTAAATTTCAATTAGAAAAATCAATAATTTTATTAAAAGAAAATCATTCATTACACGAGGATAACAAACAACTTCGTTATGATATTGAAAAAATTAAGATTTTCCGTCTACGTATGTATACTCAATTTATGTGCTCATTTTTATATTTGTACTCGGCTGTACTTGTTTTGATGTAGTCTCTCAAATAACTTAACTACTCTTAAATAAGCCGCTCCAAATCTGAGACTCCATACTTACAAGACACAGATACTTCCAATCCAAATAGCCAACGTAAAATCTGCATCAACTCAGCTCTGTTAGACAGCCAACGTTCTGTGAAAAGATTTTCTGCTTCAAAGTACGAAGTTTTCCATCGGTTGGGGAAGGTGGAGTTCAGCTGAAAGTCGTCCCTATCACTTTCATTACTGTGTTACACACACAGATTTCTTTTATCAGACCAAGAGTTTTTTCGCGACAAACTAAGTTTTTTCTGTCAGGGTGAGGTAAGGCTAATACAAAGTCGAAACTTTACATAATCTATGCTCTATGAGACAGTCATTAATCATTCTGGAAGAGCTTTTACATGTCAGATTTTTCCTATTGCAAAAATTTTCACTTTGCCTGACTCTTTCTTTTCAAGGTGAGAAGGGGGCAAAAATCCAGCCAAATCACAGAGGATATGGGCACAAACTTCCACTCCTTTATTACTTCGAAATATCTTGAGAAGTTTCACAAAATACTGTAGTATACAGTGATTGTTCCCGACGCTCTATCGTGGACTACGATTTCTAAGTGTTTGGATTGTAGGAAAATACATATTCTTCCAGTTTTAGAATTATTACTTAAAAAAATCAAGATCATTTGTAAAAAATTCACAGGTTCAATCTGCACTACGGGTACTTGAACTGTAAGATGGGTGCTATTACCCTTAGTCCGTTTGCATTGTTTTGTTTTGTTATTTAGCTGAACCAACACCTGGTGTTTATGAATGGGTTAAAAATGTTGTAAAACATTTCAAAATGGTTGCAAATATAAATCAAGCTGAAGCTAATATTGTAAGTTTTCTCTTTCAATTTTGATTTAAAAAGTATCATTGATCTAATCCAAATGCGATGCTTTTTAGGCACGAATAAGTCTTCCTCTATCAGCAGAAGATGTACAAAAATGTTATGATAATGAAGACTGGAAAAAAACAGCGCGTAATATGGTGCGCGCTTGTTTTCCGAAAGAAAATTTTAGCGAAACAAATTTTTCAAAATTAGAAAAAAAACATTCTGCTATTTTAAGTAGGTATCTCTGCTTTTCTCGGTTAATGAACAGTCAGGTATTCTGTATCCCCAGATATTTTCTTTAGATTTCTTAAAAGCAGCATATCCAATTCAAAGTATAACACATGCAAATTTGACTGAATCTATTAGCAGCATGTGTTGAAAAAGAAGATTTAATGAAAACAAAATTTTATCTTCAGAATAATCAGTAACATCTACACATAAATAATAATTGTAATTAGAAAAACATCTGTTTTGCGTTGTTTGCATTTCTCTTAAATGATTGTTTACTTATTGATTATCATAGCCCGTTTCTCGGCTTATTGTTGATTTTTTTTTCGCAAAAGTTACTATTTTGCACCGCTTTTTTTTCTTCATGTTTTTACCCTGATACTGAAATATCTCGACAGATAACAAACGTTGTTAAATAATTGATTTTCATCTGGATCTAGATGAATAACTTACAAATGAATCAAAGCTTATGAGCATAGACCTGACCCTGGCAGGTCTAAAGATGAAATACCTCCCTGTCTGAATAATAAGAGAGGTAAAGTAGATGCCTGTCGAACCGGTGGAGCAAATCGGCGACAGGAATGGTGTGGGTGTACTATCCGTCCGCCTGGCTGATCCGCTGTCCGTGAAAAGGGGCACTCTACTTTCTGTGTGGGCAGGAAGACTCTACTATTCATCCATAAGTGGTGGGGATGTATTTAAGGGTGCCAAATGATATTTCCTCCAATTCTTCGTCAGAACTTTGTGCTTTTTAACAGCAACTCATTATTTTTATTCTTCTAGTTTTCGGTTTAAAATCAAATCTAATACTAGACTCCTGACTACGAATAAAACTAAGTTTATTAAGGTATTACAGAACTATTCTAATTATAAAACAATTTCCCAGCAACACTGATCATGTTGTAGACACAAATTGGACTATCTATCGAAATTGTTTTGGGTACGAAAATGAGTTTAATATCAAACTGTTATTGAGTTTTGGCGCATTTTTTATTCTTAACAATATGCACTACTTCACTGATTTTTATAACAAAAAGTTTTCGTGGCTATTTACAAAACTGGTGGGTACTTATCGATAAAAGTTTGCACCACCATTGGTGCCATCTTATTTACAAGATCAAAGTACATCTATGCGGGGATTTTGGCAACCCAACAAGTTACTTTTACTGAGTTACTAGAGTTTCTGCATCCATAGAGGAGCTCCCTAGAATCTTAAGTAGTGCGGTTTAAAAAAGAATTGTAGAGCTCAATGACGATTCATTCGTTTATTTTCAGACCTTTTACATAAATGTTGTTTGATGGTAACTTTTAGAGAAGGTTTCCAACTTTCTGTGTTACTTATTGACTAAAAAGTACCAGAGATCTGCACGAACCGACCCGCGAATCGCACTGAACCTGATCAGACCCAACGGGACAAGTTTCTTTTGGCCAAACTAGATCCACTGATAAATATACTCTGAAGTGTTTACTTTCAGAATCTGTGTCGCTTTCGATTCTAGAAGTGGTTTTTCATGGTTTTCGAGCAACTTTTCTGGGAGCTTCGGAAAACAGGGTGTTCACATAACATTTTTTTCCTGAATACTTATGCAATTGAACTTTTAAATAACATGTAGGGTTTTAGAGCAGACTTTTGTGATCAAAACAAGACGTCCCGCAACTCTGTATGACCTTCCGTCCAAGAGTTACAAACATTTTTCTACAAACTCTAAAATAGACTTAGCAATACACAACGCTTTCCCTCAAAATCAAATTTTATACAAAAAAGTAACTTTTTGTCCCTGTTTCTCAACACTAGTACATCCGATCGGGCTGAAACTTTTTCCACATAGACTAGATATAATTTGGAGTGGGCATTTTTTTTGATTTCAAAAAATATTGCTCTGGTGATTTTTGGCAGCTTTTACAAAATTTGTCCTAGTAAGAAAAAACAAGTGTTTTTTAGGGTGCGTCCAGTATTTTGGCTTTTTTATTCGAAGAACAAGAGATATAAGGAAACCAAAAAAAATACGATCTATCTGCTCTGTAAGTTTCAAAATTTTCTGACTAGCCGTTCTCCAGAACCCCGGAAAAGTGGGGGGTACCCTTAAACCAACCAAAAGTAATATTACCTCTGCAACAAGAAAATAATTTCCCAAAATGGACACTTTTTATCGAAAAAACTATTTTACACCACTGGAGCAATTGTTTTGTGTAAAAACAAGGTCATAATTTTTTTGGCACTTTGCGCTGTGATTTTTTTTCGGTCGCTCTGACGGACTAGGCCGGCTCGGAAAGTTTTGGTCCTTGGTACTATCTAAAAAATACATCAGAATTGCTTCAGTTTATTTTGAGATTTAAAGTATTTTGGAATAAGCTTCAGATGACGTCCAGATCAAGTTTGTCGAGACTTTGTAAAAGTCACCGTGTTCAATCCAAAATTCCTTCATATGTACTTCAATTCATGTCTGGTGTTGATTCAATTACAAATAATTCTGAAGAGCAATTACTATCAACGCCTGCAAATGACCCAGGTACGTTTGTTCCAAATCTGTACACTAGTTTACGATCACGAAGCCATGATTATACATGAATCTCTCGTCACGTTGTTGTTTATCTATTTAGGATATGTATGATAATTATAAAGATATTTATTATTGCTCGGACAAAAGTACTTTCATAACTACAATCCTGTGTTCGGGTCTTAGGATTGTTTGAAAGCTTTTGGTATTTTGAAATTACAGATTTAAAAGTTCCCATTGGAACTTTTAAATAATTTTAAACTAGTTTTTACCCAAAAAGGGTGAAAAATTACTTCACATAAATTTAAGAGATCCCAATTAGCTCCAATGAGTTTGAAAAAACAGTAGTTTAAATTAGTTTTAACTAAACTGATTTAAATTAATTTATTTCTAATTGAACAGCAACAACAAAATTTGGTTTGTTTATCATCAAAAACCAGCTTATGTTATTATATGAATGATAGTGACACACCTCAAGATGATTTGGATACGACAGATATAATTGAAATATTCTTACAATCAGATGATTTTACTCTACACAATGTAGCATATGTTAAAAATGTCCGTTATTGCACATTATTATTTAGCTATAGAAAACAATATAGTGATGCATGTATTCGATTCCAATTTTTACAATTAGAAGAAAGATTTGGATTCATTAGGTGTATTGTTCAACATGATAATAATTCATATATTTTAATAGAAGAATTACTATTATTGGGTAACATAAAAATTAAATTAAACAAAATTAATTTTTGTGTACCATTTATTCTTAAATGTAAACCATTGCAACAATTTCATTTAAAGAAATTTGACGACATTATTTCAAAATTATCCTACCAGATACTACCTGGTAATCAAGTACAAGTTTTTGAATTTCCAAATATATTGGATAGCAGTTAGCATGTATTTTTTACTTTACAAGCATTTTTTTCTTTAGTTCTTCACTAACTTCTTTTTCGTATTTACTTTCAATGCTTGCTGTGTCTTTATGTGTAAGAAATTCAAGTGGTATAGTTGATAAAAACTATTTTGGTCTTATTTTCTTGAGTCTGAAAGAAAAGGGTTATGTAAGAGTCATTGAAGATAGCCTCTTCCTATTACCGTATAATGCTGCTGAATCGGCTATTCAAAGTAGGCAACGTGTTTCGAGAAAACATTTTGATAAATTTTAGCGAAAACTGCAGGCCTAAAACGTCTTTCATTGCTGAGATACTCAATTTTTATGAAAAGCCCCAAAATGCTCAAATTCAGTCACCAAATTAGATTTCTAGAAATCAAGGCACAAAAGTTGTCTTTCTACTGTTAGTATTACATGTGCAACAGAACAAAAGAACTTAAACAGTGTGAAAATAAATTTATTTCTACACTGCATCCTGAAGGACAACGTGTTTCAAAACCAAAGATTAAGCTGAAAATAAGGACAAGAAAATAGACCCGGCGACCGAGGAAATAAATTTATTTTCACACTGTTTAACTTTTTCCGTTTAAATCTTAAACTTTACATCTCAAGGCGTTTAAGACTAAAACAAGTAGTCACATTGTGCTTCGAAGACATAGGAAATCATTTTTCGCAGCCCCGTATTTCTTTGATGCAGAACGTGTAGTTATACGGAGCGGAAGTGAACGGGTGAAAATACTCCGAGTACTCGTCTACGGGAGAACGGGTGGTCATACGGGGCATATAAGCATAAGAAATCATTTTTCACAGCCGCGTATTTCTTCGATTCAGAACGGGTAGTTGGTTTAAGCTTTAATCTTGAACCAGAACGAAATCGAGAATATAAATTCCCATTATATCATTCTGAAACTTAAACTATCAAAACACAAAATCAATCCTTGCACGAAGCTAGGATCGAACACACGAACTTGATCTTTGCAGACGAACTGCAAAAATCAACTTCGCTGTTCTTTCCTATATTCTGCACAATGATTGAAGTTGTGCAATGACTCGATGTTATCCTTCAATGTGTATTTTTTTATTGTGTTTTTGTGTTTTGTTGTTGGTTTAAGCTTTAATCTTGAACCAGAACGGGTAGTTATACGGGTTATGCGTATTTGTACACCGTTCAGACCCTGTCACCTCGTGGCAGATGGGATACGGAGCCGTCACCTCGTGGCAGATGGGATACGGACCCGTCCCATGAGACATATTACGGGCCGTTTTTTTAGTTTTCGGACCCCATCTTTTTACCCGTTTTTACGCTCTTGGGTAGAGACACAAAATTTCGCAATAATCCTGGCAAGGGGAGCTCTCTAGATGTCCAACGCCGACTTCAGTTATCTTTTGCTTATAGATACTATATAGTGTTCTACTATCTATGAACATTTGTTGAGTGCGACAATTTTCGGATCGGTTTTTAGGTTTGAAAACTGAAATCGGTGCATACATAGTTCGTACTGTCATCCAACTTTGGACTGCAAAAGCTCTAGGCCAAAGTGGGATCCTAGTATGGACTAATTCAAACTCAGTTCTCACATTAGCCTAGGCCAATCTCAGATTCAACAGGATCCCACACTGGACGCTGACATATACATTCCTCTTGGATATATTTTTTTTATATTCTTTTTGTTTTCTGTCTGTTAATTAATTTGGTGATCAAACCACATTTTTCCTATAAATAATGGCTTTAACATTTTCAGGTGCTGTTCTATTAAACTTTATCAACATCATTTACTCTTGACTAAATAACGGTTACAGACGAAGATCAAACTACGTTCTCTGTTCTACTATGAGTGGATCATGCCATTTCTCTTAGACATACTGTTTGTTGAATAATCCCACAG